TAATATTAAATCGTGTGTATATATATCTAGCATAAAACTGCATCCCTCTCTTTGCATGGCACTGGTGGTGCTAGATGCCCGCAGGCCCCTGTGCAGCACAGGGAGCTGGTACCTGGCTGGTTACCCCACCTGGGCACTGTTCCTTCCAGCAGGTTTAAGTGCAGACATGCAAGCTCAGAGGGGTGGCGTTCCCTGAAGGAGGGGCCAAACCAGCCACCTCCCTCACACTCCTTTCCAGCCTGACTGCCTGGGTCTGTGGAACTTTCCCAGCTGGGGGCACATTTATTATTTTAGGGTCCATTGTGTAGAAGTTTTTAAATTTGCTACAGACTTGGAATGAACTGCTGGCCGTGCCTGGAGACCCCTGGAAGGGAAAGGCAGTTCAGTGGGAACCTTAGAGCAGGTGAGGAAGAGGCCCTGGCTGAAGTGCAGGGGCCTCTTGTTGGGAGAGTGGGTGGAAAAGATGAGGTGAGGAAGTCCCTCTTGGAGTAACCCAAATTGAAGGGGTGGCAAAACTGCACACCCCTCCCCCCTGCTCAGTGGGGGCTGCCTCAGGAGGGTGGGTACGTGCAGGAGCAAGCTGGGCAACTTGGGCACTGCAGAGCTGCTGCTCTGGGGCACTGTCTGGTGCCTACCCTCCCCTGGTTGCACATTAAAAGGGAGGACATCAAAATTCTTTGCACTAGTGCTGCTGGAAGTGGGGCTGGCTTTCCCGGGCGCTAGGCAGCTTCTGCCCAAGTTCACTCGCATTCCAAGGCTTCGGGCTCCTAGTTCCCTTCCTGTTCTATCGGAGCCAGCAAGCTCTGTTGGTCTCACTGCAGCCTTGGGCTTCCTGGCAAGTCTTTCCCACAGGTGTCTTCCTGCCCTGGTCCCTGGACTTAGGACGCCTTCCTCTTAATGAAGGATATTTCATAGCCCCTTCAATGGGCTTTTGTAGTGATTCATGCAGACTTCAGCACACCACAGCCTGGGCTCCAGCCCTGCCTTTGGTTCCTGCATGGTTATACT